TTGCCAAATCAATAAGCAAAGACGAATCTCCTATAGACCCTTAGAAGGTATTCAAGTGAAGAGGCCGCTTGAAAGGGTTTTTTTCTGATGTATGGGGACCTATTAACATTCCAGGTAGGAATAGTGAACGTTATTTCGTTTCCTTTATTGACGAATATTCTCGTTATGTGGGTAGTGTACCCCATTGTAGAGAAAAAGTCAGGTGTTTGAAGTATTTGAAAGGCATATAGCACGTGCGGAAAGATCTTTGAACCTTAAGGTTGAAATACTTTAGACTGACAATGGGCGAGAATATGATAATGATCAATTCAGGTCATATTGTAATAAAAATGGTGTAAAGCACGAATTTACAGACAGATGTATATACTCCAGAACAGAATGGAGTTTGTGAGAGATTTAATCAGACAGCTCTCAACAATGTACGTGCAATCTTACATGATAGTGGAATGAGTTCCGAATTTTGGTCAGATGCAGTAATGTATTTTGCATATTCATTTAATAGAATTTGTCATAAGGGCCAAGATAGAAAAACCCCATTCGAATTGTACAATACTAAGCGGAAACCATCAGTACGTCACCTTAAGGCATTTGGAATGCCTATGTGGGTACGTCACCTTAAGGTATTACATATTGGAATGTCGATTGCCTATGTGGGAATTCCAAAAGGCTAAAAGAAATTCTAAGCTTGATCCAAAGGCAACGAAAGGGCCGATTGATTGGGTATACAGTGTACGAACAAAAGGGTACAAGATTTGGTTGGAAAATGAAGCAAAAAGTAGTAGAAACCCTAAAGCTACTTTAAAAGAGTCAGTTGGAAGCAAGAAGTTGCAGTGGAGCCGCCTGGGCACCCTTCTTGATTTGGAATCTGAAGAGAGGTTTGAGTTCCAATCTACTGTACTCCAGTTGGCTAGTTGGCTTTTCCTGAAATAGAGGAAAAAGAAACCGATACCAATGTATCCCTTCTCTACCAATTGGCACTGACCACTCAATCTACATTGAGACAAGTAACTTGGCTTCGTAAACCTGTTCCAAGGCCAGACGGCACTCGTACGGATGTGTACTATTTTGAGAGGGGGTCTAATCAAAGACTACGATCACCAAATGATGTAGAAAGGTATTGCACTGAACATAATATTCAGTATGATCCTACCTTGTTTGATTTCAAGGGAAGCAATACTTATAGTAGTGGTGAAATCGACCCCAACTGGCACTCCTTCAACGTCATATACCCGAGATAGCTGACTAGAGGTTTCAATTCCAAACACTTATAACCAGGCAATGAAATCCACAGAAAAGCATAAATGGATAGAGGCAATGGAAGAGGAAATGGCCAACATGCGAAAGCATAAGGTATATGGCATCTTGTTCCACTTCCTAAAGACAAGACTCCACTAGGTTGCAGGTGGATTTTCAACATTAAACGTGACGAATTTGGAAACATTGTTTTTTTAAAGCTCGTTTAGTGGCTCAGGGTTATCGGCAAATTAAATACGATACCTATGATGAAACCTACTCGCTGTAGTCAACTTTTCAGTAATAAGGCTCCTTTTCTCCCTTTTAGTTGCACACCTTGGATGGGCAAATATACAAGTGCGATGTAAAAAGTGCCTATCTCTACGCTCCTTTATCTGAGGAAATTTACATGTCCCAACCTCAGGGTTTTGTAGAGCGAGATAAAGAAACTTTTGTGTGTCGTTTAGATAGACAGGGCCTTGTATGGTCTGCATCAGAGTGGGCGATTATGGGTACTACGAGTTGGATAGAACACTATGTAAAACCTAGGGTTTATCAAGTTTGATTAGTGTGCAATTGTGTCTGTGTATCAATTTAAAGATTTTGTCATTCTGTTGGTTTATGTTGATGATATTGTTGTGTTTGGGAAAAAGTGAAGTTCAGGCCAAAAGGATATTAAAAGTCCTGATTCACATTTTGATTTGAAAATTTTTAGGTAAAACAAGAAAGCTTCTGGGTGTGGAGTTTTGAATATGAGAACAATAGTGTTTGATTCATCAGCACAATTATATATAGAAGACATAGTTGATCGATTTTAAGTCTTTTTAAAATACAAATTACTTCCCTTCCAATAGTTAAAGGTGTGAAATACTCAAAGTCTCAAAGTCCCAGTACACAAGAAGAAATGACTGAAATGATGAATTATCCTTATAGAAATGTTTTGGGATGTCTCTCGTTTTTTGCAATCATACTCGTCCGGATATAGCTTATGCTGTTAATATATTTTCTCAGTTCCAAAGCAATCCTGGTAAGTTTCACTGGAAAGGATTATTTAAACTTTTAGGATATGTTTCCAATACCAGACATTACAAACTTAAACTGGTATGCATGGAACTGAAGCTTAATATATATTCAGATTCGGATTTTGCTTCAAGCAGGGATGATATGTGGTGTCTATTGGTGGACAAATAGCTTTGTTGGGAGAATCACCTGTATCTTGGCGTACATTTAAAGAAAGGGGGAGTGAGTTTGTCTACTATGGAGGCTGAATTTATCTCCATGACTGAATCAGCAAAAGAATTAGTTTGGTTTTTTAAAACATTTTGGATGAATGCATTCAGTTTAAGATTGCAAGTAACTATGTTTTTGAAAACCAATATTGTTTGCTGATAACATGGCTGCTATATGTTTTACAAAATCACCCATTGAAAACTCAAGGACAAAAAATATATAGATGTGAAACTATTTTTCATTCGTGATCTATTGAAACAGGGAAATTTTTTTATTTAAAATATGTTCCAAGTAAAGATAATCTGGCTGATCCCATGACAAAACCGCTGACTAAGCATAACCTGATAAGATTTTGTGGAACAATTTTCTTATGAAACTTTTGTTTTTGTGTGTATTTTTAAATTAAGAGTTTTGTTTATTTGAAAATAATATGTTATAAGTCATATTATGATGGATATTAGGTAAATGTAAAACTGTATAGTGTAGAATGTTGTATGAGTGACCAGGGCCCTGGGTAAAAGTATTGAGTGTGTGATCATATATATGTCTTTGTATTGTTTTGTAACATGTTTGGACTTTCTTGCTATGGTAAAATTTTTGAATAATTGGGATAAGATGTTCCCAAAGGAAAAATTTTTCCTTAAAAATTTCTGAATTGAATGAAATTGTGATATTTATTTATTCTTGTTTTGAATTTTGTAAAGATACTGGCATTCAGTTTTTATTTCAGGTCGGAGATGATGATGTGGGGGGCATTTGTTGGAAAATATAACTTATTGTAAACCTTTTTACTGCATCATCTCTCCTCCTTGAAAGATGTTTATTTAGTTTGGTTTCTTATTTTAATGTAACATAGTAGTTACTTCTACTTCTTTTTCTTGCTGCCACTGTTTTGCATTGAGAACGGACTGTTTCAACCTAATTGAGATGCAAAAACGAAACGTGATGTTACGTCATCTGAAAAGCCGATTCGTGCCGGATTGGTTTGCCGTGAGATGACGTCATTCCTAACTTCTGCTATAAGCATCTCGCATCGCTCTGGCTCAACCTTTCTAGTTCCTGCTTTCCTGGCACTTGAGTGAGCGGTTTCCAGCCCCTTCAGAAGGATGCATGCAGTCTGGTGATTAAAGTTCCTTGGTTCCTGTTTGCGGGATGGCTGTTCCTGAATAAAGTTCCTTGGTGCCTGTCCGCAGGATGATTGTTTCGGAATGAGTTCCTTGGTTCATATCCATAAGATGGTTGTTCCAGAATAAAGTTCCTTGGTTCCAGAGGCTACCATGTGAGTGACTGCCGTGGGCGACATCCATGTTCTTCAATGAAGGTGGCATTTAAAAATACGTGAGCGGCGATTCCTCGTGCAAACGGAATCAGGCCGGTTTTAAGTGCTTTCAAGAACTTCATTTAAATTTTCAGGTGTTTTCTCAACCATTGATCATGGACGTTTTGAATGTGTAGCCAACTTCATTTTTAGGCCACATAATTAATGTTTAGGACATTTTTGTTTGTATTGAATGCCAGTGTTTTGGAGACCAGGTAAAAATATTATTTGATGAATGATGATTATATTATATTTTTCCTAAGACTCTGATATTGTTGAAATTGATTTTCTGTGTTTTTATTCTTTATTATATTGTTAATAAATTGGTTAAGTTCAAAACCTTTTATTGTCTTCAATTGTCTGCACAACATGATATCTCAGGGAGCTTTTATTGCTACTACTGCTAAATGTTTAATTTTTTTTCAAACTTTAAACTTTGCTTTAGCATCAGTTCCTGCACATGAAGCGCAAGCTTGGTGGCAATTGCTTTGGATCTGATGATGACACGAAAAATGCTGTGGAGTCGGGGTTATCAAAACTGGCGGGAAGTTTCTTTGACTATGGTATACAAAAACTGGTCATCCGCTATGACAAGTGTTTGATCATTGGCGGAAACTATGTTGAAAAATAGTTTAAGACATGTATTTTCATGTAAAAATAAAATTGGATTCGAAAAAATTATTTTACTATTTTTTTTTTTTTTTTTTTTTTCAAAACGGTAGTTAGTTTCCGAATACGCCTCATATAATAATTACTTACATAGTTTATTTGACACTTATCTATCATTCCATCAAAGGTGAAAATTGGCTATCATCAAACTATGAAAGCTGGCAAAGATGCCACCAAAGAAGTGAAAATCACTCCTGCACATTTTTAAAGGAACTGAAGTCTCTCTATTTAATAATTGATCCATGCCTTATTTTTACACTTCATAAAAAGACTTTTGTGGATTTCTGCTATTCTGCTAGGCTTCCTGATTTTAGATTTTACCAAGAGCTTTGTTAAGTTGGATGTGAGCATAAACTTCCTACAGGTGATTGTTCCAATCTATTACTTTTTCTAAGTCACATTCAGCTGTTCAGCAGATGTTCATTCTCTGGACTAGGTGTAAAGAGCTTCAGTGTAATCACAAACATGATTCTACATCCCTCGAACTTATTTATTTTTCTTTTCAAAATGGAAAGAAGAAATACAGATATAACAAATAATTTATAACCTCTTTTTTTTTTTTTTTTTTTTTTTTTTTTACAAAAATAAAACATGGCTTATCTAGAATGAATTAGAGTTACGTCAAATAATGGTGCAGATGTTATGACAGTGTTGTGGCATTACGCTTATCCTAATTGCAGCTAAACTAGACTGCTTAGCAATAGTTTCATGGTTGATGGGATAATATGTAAGTACCATTTATTTAGTGTTTAAACAACATATTTATTCTGTACAGTATGATAATTAAATTTCTCCCTTTTATCAAAAGACCCAATTATAAGATGATACCAAATTTCAAAACAAATATATAGCTGAAAAAGAGGAGGGGATTTCATTGAGTAAATACAATAACAATTTAATTACAGATTCCATAATTAAAACAGAATTTTAAGCCGTAAGAAAAGTAATAACATACATACATTTCATAACTTTCACTTCTTTGCCGAGAGGCATCCATAGTCCTTTTGTAGGTGCTTTGGATAAAAATTCTCGGGCTTCCTTATTTTCAGGCAAATTTGGAATACAGTCCTCAGGATGCTCTTCTTCTTCTTTAATCAGTCCAGGAGGGGCTTGGCCATAGCTGTAAAAATAACATACAGCATGGCAAAATGGTCTCAACTGCTGAATTCATATATTAAAGAAAAAAAAAGGAGAAAACAGATTAAATGTCAGATTTTTATAAAAGTCATGCAAGACGCTGGTAAATAAAATTTTACATTTCTGCTAATCAAATCTTGGGGGTAAGTTTTGAGTAATAAGGAAATAATGAATAGTGAGTTTATACATCTGACATGTTTTTCAATTTAGAATGCAAAAAAGAAGATAATTAGACAGAAAGATATCAAAAGTCATATTTAAAATACAATATTTTAGATTTAGATTTTTAATTTAACACGAAACTGTTTTCTGTTTAATTAATCAAATATTTGATGGCAACAGCTTTTATTTTAAACATTGCAATAATTTGTATTTATTCAAGTACAGTTATATGAAATACATAAAATCTATTACAGAAATTATGTGGCATACGTTTAGTACTTTAGAATAAAAGTAACATATTATTAACAACACAGTACTAACTATAGAACCATAGTTATTTAAGATATGTTCATGGTTACATTGCTCAGCTTGAATCCAGCTTTTAAATTATTTTATACAAATACTATACTTAAATCTGGAGCTTTAATAAGAAAAATAGAGTTCACTAGTAAAACCTTTCAGTATAAAATCTTTTTACATAATTTCTGTCATTGTATCCAATTTCAGCATCACATAAAAATGCACATTATAAATGTGTGTATATTAGTGTATCAAATTTTTTTATTGATCACAGTTATAACATATCAATAAAAACTTGTTATTTCATATTGCCACTTCAAGGAAACAGAAAAGCAGAATTTTCATGAATAAAGGAATTTTAAACCATTTAATTAACTTTTTCAGTTATAAAAGTCTTGAACCCGGCCTTTTCATCAAATCACTTTGAAAATAAACATATGCCATAATGTCAATTAATCCAAGAAGGAAAATGATCTTTCGAAATCGATTATACCGATCAAGTTTGCTTGAATCACTTTTCAGAATATTATGCAATTGGAAATTTTGTAACATTTAAAGCAACCAATGAAAATTTTTATTTTTCATCAGATGGGAGGACAGAATAGTAAAAGAAAGAACAGTCAACAGGATTATGTACAAGAACTTGTCTACAAGAACAGATTGATGAAGTCTGATATTAGCAAAAGCATATAAGCTCTTAAAAAAAAAAGAGAGAGAGAGAGAGAAAGACCCTTTGCATAATGTTAAAATCTGAACCTTTTCATATTTTATTTATTTATTACTTTTTTAATCTGCATAATTAACTTCATCCACATAAGAGAAAGCTCAGTGATTTGCTCAGAAAAAAACTGCAATTCCCATCAAAATATTTTAAAACACACTCATTTTTATAGTTCACAGCAGAATAAACGGGAATGAAGTAAAATCTGTATTTCTGCACATTTTGGAGTATCCATGATATTCAGAAAATATAAAACGATTATGATAGTAAAATGAAACTGTAGACAACAGATCATCAAAATGGTTCTGAAGGCACAGCCATATGTATCAAACAAGATCAGCATCAAAAGAAATAATGCATGGTTTAGAAAAGGCCATTTTAATATGTTTAATAACAGTTAAATATATAGTTATTTTATGGTACATGAGTAATTCTTTGTGTTTCTAATTCAGAAAAAAAAATATTTAATGTACTGTTTATCATGCCTTATAACTGCACTAATTATGAGTTATTACCTTGTAAAGAACATGACTCTAAAAATAATGAACATGGCTAACTAAATTTCGATTTTATGACAACACATTGAAGAACTATGTGCTTAAGATGAGCAATGCTTTCAAGGCAAACTTTCTCAGGGAAACTGGCCCACAGTCACATTAAACACACGAATATAAATGTACACCAATGGGGCTTGGAATTTCGGTACTTATGTATTATCGCAACCACCTTAGTAGAAATCACCTAAACTTCAGAATACACCAAACCATGCACATAACAATTTTCCAGGAAACCATGCCCATGATGATATTCGGTTTCCAACGTCATGATTTACGCACGTATTCCTTTTGTTGTAATCTAAGTTCCAATAGCTTTTATATGAAATTTGTCACTAATGTTTGTCTTTACATAGATTTAAAAATTTTTGCTAATATGATTTTGTATAATATAAGAAATAGAAAGAGAAGTGAAATTTCTGCAGGAATACATTATTTTGCAGCAAGATCGCTAAAGAAACAATGCTTTGAATTCTTTCTCAAAGCAATCGCTACAAAATTTCTGCTATAACAAAAGCCCATTTGTAACTAGATTTATTGATTGTCTTTTGGAACACATATATAGTTGAAAAGTAGAATTTAACAAATATTCTTTCTCTATTGAAAAGTAGAATATGTAATAATATGCATGTACACAGCACAAAAAAAGGGGGGACAGTTCTATATCTCCTGTTCTACTGGGCCGACCTATGAAATTCAACTTGCGTTTTTAATGTCTCGAAAGTGCGACTTAGGATATGCATTAGATTTATATAGTCAAAAGTCTTTAATCCAGAATGATCTATAATCCGGACCTCAAAGCTACAAATTTTCTGAGCATAATACCTTTACGCATGCACATATGTGTTTACGCATGCGCATAATACGTTTATGCATGCGCGTTTAAAGAACGGACGGTATAAGCTAAGCTAAAATTATCTAATTATCTATTTCAGTTAATGTTGCAGATTGTGTTGTTCCTTAATCTTCTAATTGGATCCGGCTTATTATTTTTTGCAGACTGTTATAGCAGTTTTATAAAAAGGAAGCTTGAACTTTCGATTATATCAAAAAGAATTTCCGATTCTGGAGCTGCCAAACGATCTACAAAGCGAAAGCATGTTTCGATGTCCATCAAACAAAAAGTGGAATTGCTGCAAAAAATGGATAAAGGCATATCCTTTGTTTCTCTAACCATTCCGAAATCTGTTTATCAATTTCACGTTGCTCTGTCAGCACTATTCTTATCTTCAGGGCAGATGTTTTTATTTTATTCGATTTATAATTCCTTACTAAATGTAGTATTTCATCTCGATGTACTCCATCTTTGATACAGTCAAAAGTCTTTAATCCGGATTCGCGGGACTTCGGCGATTCCGGATTATAGATCATCAGTTTAAATCTGGTAAGATGGCATGCAGAAATTATAAAATTAAAAATATGAACCGTAATTTATGAAATAAAGAGCAATTATGATCTAAAGGGTATCAAAATTTACAAAAAAAAAGTTTAATATTTATTTGTTTACTTTATTAAACATTTCTTTCAATACAAGTTGTTTAAGTTGCTCCGTTTTATGTGATAATACTTTTTCTTTAATTCTATAAACAGACATAATTTCTTCTTCAGTTACAAAGTTCCGCTGTTCAAGTCCTATAATTGCTGTGTCGAGAATACCGAAATAATTTGTCAATCAAAATTTTTTCGTTTTCAATAACCACTGTGTCACTTTCTTCACTATCGGAAGCAAATTATAATGTCGAGGAATATGATTTAAATCATATCAAAGACGGAGTAAATTGAGATGAAATACTACATTTAGTAAGGAATTACAAGCCAAATAAAATAAAAACATCTGCTCTGAAGATAAGGATAGTGCTGACAGATCAACTTCCAATTCATTGCGCGCCGCGCCGTCAGAGTATATTTTTACAAATATTCAGGGAGCTACTAGAAGACGTAAAAGAGATTTTGGAATCAAATGATAAAGCTTATGTTGAACTCGGTGGTGACATTTGGTTGATGGATTTAGCTTTTGTTATTGATGTAACAAGCCATCTTAATGAATTGAACAATTGAAAGGAAAAAATCATACAATAGTAGAATTGATTGGATTTGTTAATACTTTCAAAAACAAGGCAAAGCTAATATCTTCCCACTTGATGAAGAATAAACTAGAACCAATTGTTACAGTCATGTGTTACCCATTTGGCAATGTTGATGTGGAAGAAATAACTGAAAATATAAATGATATAGTCTTGTAATCTCTTGAGGAAAACAAAATTTTTCTTCTTTAAAATGACATAATTTTAAAAGCACGTAGTTCAAGACCTAAGAATAATTTTTGGAATCTAATGGATGAAGTAATGTATCTTAATTTGAAAAAAGTTGAATTTCATTTAACATCGTTCTTTGGCTCTACCTACCCATGTGAATCTGCATTTCTAATGATGAATATAATTCAGACAACATATCGCTCCTGTCTTGCAAACAACTCACTTAGAATCCAGTGCAAGATTAGCAGTTAGTAATTATATATTGAGATATTCAAGATTGGCAGATAGTATGCAGACTAAGTCTTCTACAAACTATAACTACAAGAACTAACTTTAGATGAAAATGACTTATTTTTTAATGTATTTTGAACTGTTTGATGAGAAATGCATCATTTGAAAATATTATAGTTGTGGCTATTATTATTATGTTTGTATCTTGCTTTTTGCTTTTAAAAGAGTATATGTTTTTAAGTAGGGTTAGATAGGTAAGTACATACTCCGTGTTTATCATAAAGTTATAATAAATATTTTTTTAACTCACCACACCTACAACACTGGGTGGACTACAACACCTGGAAAAAATTAGAAGTAGCCCGTATCCTGGAAATGTCAGACCACCGCTGTCTTAATCCACATCAAATTTTTTTTATAGATCTTTCACAGTAGTTATAAACAACATTCTTCGGCACAAAGCTTACAAGTAAATAGCAATGTGTTTTGTGACAGGAATAAAACAGATATTAAATATTTAGAAAATTAGTTAAAAATATGCCAAACAAAATTTATTTCCTTCAGTTAAACAAATATGTTGCCATCATCACAGATCCTTTTGATCTGAATAAAAACCAGAAGAAATCTGTAAATTTATCACAGCCCAAGAGGAAGTGTATGTTGTTGGCTAAGGCCCTGGAAATCTTATTGGTGACCATACGAGTTTGCCCAACTTCATTCTAATTTTCATAGAAAGCCTGGAGCATTGGATCCAAAGGTT